CTTGAGTTAGACAGATCACCATCAAGGAAACATATAGTCCGCCGCCTGCCAAGATGATGGCGTCTGAATCTCCGATTGCGGCGAGAGCGAATATGACACCTTAAGTGGAGGAATCAAGGCCATCAGGTTCGGCATCGACGAATCCGTCGAGAATCATGATCAGAAGAAGGCCTGCTACCTTGCCGTGGCCAGCGCCCCCTCGAGAGGTCAGGCAGCCGTCCTCATTCGTGGCGCCCGACATGGGTACGGAAAGAATGGGTACAAAGCCCGACAGCAGTTCTCTTTTATTTTGAACAGGACTCGCAGTCCGCGCCGCAGCGGCCTGTTTCTGTTTAAGACAGGAGGCCGCCTGCCCAACAGCGGCCGCTGCTGGTTGAGACAACATTTGTTTTTGGGCATGGTGCTCATTCTTTCCGTGCCTATTTCGGGCGTCCAAATTCATCTCGGGGGGCTCAGGCATCTTCGTCGTCGCCGATCCTATAGCCGCAGCCGCTTTGAAGTGCGTCCAGCGACAGAGCGCGGGCAAGAGTTGGGATGGTGGGGATCAGCGCCATGCCCGAGAAGAAGCTCCTCAACGCTGCGTCCGCAGCGGCGGATTTTGGCCAGTCTAAGAGCCTGTCGAGCAAGGACCAGGTCCGCCCTTGAAACCATCGCCTGCTGCGCGGCACGAAGGGCAAGATGACCGGCGAGCCGGGCCGTGCCATCGCCAGCCTCGCCTTCGACTTCAGCAAGCGTCGCAGGACCACGAGAGACAGCTCTGATAGCAAGCGAGCCAGAAGCAGTGGCAGGAGCAGATCCAGTGGTAGACATCACTTTGGAAAACCCACAGTGCTCGCTGGGCGCAACGATTGAATTTCCACCTGGCGCCATCGACTACGCGCCTGAATGTTTGGAGGAAACATTGCCGTCTCCAGAATCCGAGAACCGCGTCTCGGTGGCACCTTCGGCATGGTTTCAGTGCTGTATATCTTGGGCCCGATGGCGCATGCAGCAGAGAGTGCAGGTCGAACTCAGCATTGGCTTTCCTTCGCTACGTCGGGATCGAGCGCGTGGACAGCGCAGGAACCGCTCCTGGTCTTTCTGGAACCATGGGTGAAGGAGGCGTGCTTCTGGTACGGCTTTCTAGCAGATGACTTCTTCTCCGGAGCTCACGATGATTTCCTGACAGGAAGTGACGTAATCAACTACTGTGACGCCGAGACGAGGTCGATATGTTACCAGGTATACATTTACACATAAGTCTGAGGTGCCCACCCTTGGCAAGGTTAGCAACATCGCCAACGCGATTGATGCAGTTTGGGTGCGCGCGTGGGAGGCGAGTCGCCCGTCAGTGGTCGAGTCGTGCATGTGTAGGCAATGCTTCATGGGCGTTCTGCGTAAGTGAGTACCTTGGCATTCGTCTTTAACATCATCGCTATTCATTTTTTAGCAATGACTCTTGGAGCTCAGCGCTTGTTGGTCTGCGGGGCATTCGACGCGCGCACCGAAGCGCGAGTAAAGGAGCTTGGTCACGAGCGCAGACGCACCTGGGCAGCGTGGAATCAACCTCAGGCAAACGTTTGGCGACGCCTACGTCCGCGTCTGTTCGAATTTTCGACGGTCGAGACATGGGGCGAGGTCTTCATGTTTTGCTACTGAGCAAGTCCATGTGCGGCTTGGTTGATGGACCGGTTCCGCTCCAGATCGCATGTCGGCATTTTTCTCAGCGGGTTTGAGTTGCACCAGTCGTTGCGCGACGATATGTATGGATGCCGGTGCGATGACGAGAGGTCTGTTTTGGCGTGCATCATTATGATGCGCGTTGGTGACTTTCTGGTGTTGGCAGTGAAGAATGCGATCTTGCGCGTGCATCAGTGCGTGGAGCGCGAGCGTGGGGCGCTGAAGCGGTTGGCATTGTTCTTCGCGTTGCGCGGGGCAGTTCGTGGATCGATCGGCGTGGGGCATCTTGTTCTACAGGCGAAGCCATATATTATTCGCCTCGAGCCGATGGCCCTCGCGGAGGAGACAGCGGGCACCGCCGAGCTATGCGACAGGGGCCACCTTTCTTTCAGATCTGCTGATGAGTGTGCCATGTCTGATCAAGACCAGGTGCGATATCCTAGAATATCTGGTCCAAGTACAAACTGGTTTTTTGAAACCGAAGGGCAGTCGTTTCAAGCGGCAGCCTGGCATTCTGATGCAAGAAGTGGCACGCCGCAAGATGACTGATTATCCACAGTGGGGGCTCGTTCAAGCTGCGGATTGCTGTCGTATCATCGGTGGCAGTTGTTTTCCACAGGAAGCACAAATCGTTCTCATGGACAGAGATCTTCCAGCACATCTTCACGGCACGAAAGACAGGTATTTGGGAGATGAAGCGAAGGTGTTCGGGGGCGTGGAATGCCCGCTGATTTCCAGCCCTAAGAAAGCACGGCGCTATTCATGGTCTACCTCGCGCTCGCAAGCAATTGCAGCAGTATCTTGCGCGGCCGTGGGCAATATTTTAGCCTCGGAAGCAGAATGCACCGGGGGCACCGTGCGTCTGGCCGCTCTCTGCGAACGCAGCACTGTCTGGGATCTATGTGAAGATGGGGTGGGGATGGAGTGTATCGGCGATTTTCTTTTGGCGTTCAAGTGGGTGTCTGGTATCTGGAAGGTCGGGGGAGGGGCTCGCGGAAATGGCTATCGGTATCAGACTCGTGTTGATCGTGCCGCCACTCGTCTCGAGGTGCTCTCTACGCGCGGGACTCGACCGAGTTCCAGGGGATCTGGTTTTGTCGAACATGAATTTCGGGAGGGAATCGCTCGGGCGGATGGACTGACCCGCAGAGCTAGGGAG